TTTGTTGGTGCATTTCCACCTTTATTTCCTCTCCATTGAGACACGGTTCAGTGTATATATAGGCAGACCTTAGGGGTATTGATAGTATAGTGGTTATGAATCAGGCTGTGAACCTTAAGGTCAGCAGTTTGAAACTACCAGCCGCTCCATGGGAGAAAGATGAGGCTTTCTGCTCCTGTAAAGATTTACAGCCTCGGAAATCCTGTACGGGGTCGCTATGGGTTGGAACTGACTCAATAGCACTTAACAAAAAGGGGTATTGCAGGTTTGGTTCCAGACCATTACAAAAAAGCCAGTATCAAAATGAAGCGAGTCATATACATTTTGGGCTCCCCCGTGCATAGAAAATTATCATCTATAAAGTATGAATAGCATTATGAAAAAGTTTGAAGTACTTCTGAGAATGACCTAATGGGGTCAATGTGGAGACAAGAAATGAGCATGTGCTGTTGGGAAACTATCACCCATAGATTTGCTCAATGAAAGGATGCTACAGACCTTCAATTTGTAAAAAAATGCCATATCCTCGAAGTAGAGTAAAGTGCAGCTCCATAAAACAAGTGAAGCCCGTATCGTCTCTGTGTTTTCAGGCAAAATAAATAAAGGTTTTATGGAAGTCACATATGCAGTGGTGTCAGTTCTGTGGCGGGCTGGGGATTGGACACAGCTCGGGATGAAGCCAAGGCTGTGTTGCCCGTGGGCCTCTCTGCTGTGACCTCCAGCTCTCTGACTGTGTCTTCTCTCCCCTGCAGGACCCCGGAGGACCTTTCCAGATTCGTGGTGGAGCTGCAGCAGCGAGAGGTAGCTTTGAAGGAGAAGAACAGCACTATTACCAGCAGGTAAACACACTCTGTCTGGCAGGCATATTTGCACTGGCCGGAGGATTCCATGGCAGTGCAGCTGTCCAGTTACAGCCTGGTCTTTGAGTGTGTGTGTGTGTATGTGCTGTGTTAGGGCCATACTTTGTGCTGTGTGTCTCAGAACACGCTGGGCTGCTGGGGAGCCTGAGCTAGCATCTACATTCAGAGCTGTGCCGCCCCACTCAGCACAGGGCTGCATCTGTTTGCCACACTGACCTGTGGGCTCTGGTCGAGCACTTCATGATGTGAGAATCAGGACTTGGTGGTGTCAGTGTGTCTATCTCTACATGTGGTCTTTGCAATGTCTGTGGGCTGGTGCTCAGGTGGAATATCTTGGGATATCTTCCCACGAGGAACTGCATGCTCTGGGTGGGCGCCCCAACCTCTCAGTATCACATCCAGATGCAGAGGAAGACATCTGTTTCTTGGACACTGCTGTTTAGGACCCTCTGGCCAGTAGGCCCCCTCGTGTCTCTTGGCCCCATCTGCATCTGCTAGAACATCTGGAGCTGCTTTCCAGCCCCCGATTGTCAAGTGATTGCTCCGTCCTCCCAAGGAGATGGCTCTTTAGTGATTGACTAGTAGCCAGAAGGGAGGTTTTCCTGTTTGGGGACTGATGTCACTTTGAACATGGGTTTTCAGAAGCATCTGGTTCTGTTGGACGCGGTCACGTCGATGTAGTTGAAAACATCTCAGCTGGTGATGCTTGCCTGCTACCTTCAAAGCTGCTGTCAGATGAAATGGGCATTAGGAGCGGTTTGAAATTAAAGCACTCACATTTTGCCAGGCGAGCTCCTCATTTGACTTTGACGTTGAAACAGAATGATTAAGGGGAGGAACTTCATCTAGTCTTCTTCCCACCAGGAACTGCGTGCTCCAGGCTGGGCCAGACAGCCCACCTCTGCTGGCCGCAATGGGTGTGGCTGTTACCCCACTTCCCTGTGGAGTTGTTCTCTGTGTCAGGGCCCTGCGTGTGCCTGAAGTAGAGGAAATGGAGTTGCTTAGTGTCCCCAGGGCTTATGGGGACTAACATTCTTTGTCAAGGCTGTGGGGGTGTATATGTCCTGGGTTTCCCTCTGTAGGTACTCAGGATGAAGGCCCTTGCCCATGTGGATGGATGCATCCTGGGAGTGGTATTCAGGGGGAAGGCTGAGAAGGGGACAGACTTTAGGAGGCCAGAGCTGCTGTCAGCGGATGTTGAGGGAATCCAAATGTATGCCAACTAGAGGGTGTGGGTTTTGTGGAAAGCAGCTTCAGCTGCGGAGGTCAGGGCACAAATGGGAGTGGACAGTGGTCTCCTGTGTGTAGGGGTGCTGTGTCATGAAGCATGGGTACCACAGACAGAGCTTGTCTGTAACCCGAGGGCTGGCTGGGCAGGGAGTAACACCCACCATTTACTGCTTCTCTCTCCTCATTGAATTCTTATGACCTGCTCGTTGTCCCAGATGGGATGAGGCTGTGAGGATCTTGGGGCAATCAGCTATTGGGTGCTTGGTGTGTGTCCAGATGGCATGAGACTGCCGGGTTCCCACAGAGAAGGTGGGAGACACTGCTGGAGTTCTCCAGTGTGGCCTTTCGTAAGTCAGATGAGCTGACCTCTCAGTGGCTGAAGGACATCCCTACCAGCCCTACTGCTGTTGGATTCTAACTCATGGCCACTGTAACAGGGTAGAACTGTTACCTAGGGTTTTCTGCCTTTGCATGTGTGGATTACCAGGTCTTTATCTTATGTAGCAACTGGGTGCGTTTGAACTGTGAACTTTTGGTTGGCAGTTAGGCGCTTAACCATTGGGCCACCGGAGCACTGTATTTTTGGTGGGGTGGGGAGAAGACCCTGATACCTGGTAAGGTGAAATAGTGAATTTGCTTAACACAACAATTCAAGGCAGCTGAAACAAGTATAGCTGAAGTGGGCAGGAGGCGACTTGGCCAAGAGGCAGGAGGGTGCCAATCTTGAAGGCCTATATATGAGCAGCATTTTCTCTTCTCCTTAAAATTTTTGCACAATCTTTAAGGAACTAGATTAGCAAACTCTGTCCAGAATCACATGTGTCTGCTAGAAGCTGTAGCTGCCTTCAGACTTTACTCCCATCTGTGTAAACCCAGGGATCAGGCATTTTCTCTCTGCCTGTCCTTATCCCTGTCTGCTGTTTGCTTGTCCTCTCCTGCTAATCACTATGTGTTCACTTTTTAGTTCATACACATCAACATGCTATTGGTGGCTACTCGAAACTCGATTTGCCCAGTGCTGAGTATTTGTGACTTCCCCCTAATACTTTGCTATTATAAACAGCACATTATTAGGCTTCCTGTAGTGTAAGACCTGTGAACAGAGGGAGGGTCTCACATAGGCTTCGTCCGAACCACTGGATGGAAACAGAGCCCCCCTGCACTGAACTGAGCTGAGTCACTGGGCTCTCAACTGTCCAAAGTCACCATGGTAGAGGAAGCCCCTGGTGTCCTGGGGATGTGCACATTGCTCCTCAGGGTGCTGTGCTCCTGGTCATTGCTTCTCAGTGAGAGAGGTGTGGCACCACACAGCGCAGGTATAAGTCGCTTCATTGCGCTGTGCAGAGACTGTTACAAACAGAAGGTCTGTGGCAACCCTGCATCCAGCATGTCTGTCTGCACCATTTTCCCCATAGCCTGTGCTCACTTGGAATCTCTTTGTCACATGTATTTTATTCTTGTGACCTTTCAAGACTGTTTCCCAATGCTTGCGCATACTTCATAGATGACAGTCTGGTGTCGGCATTGCTCTCAGATGCATGGAGAAACCCGCACATGACCGATTTTCAGTGGAAAGTGATCCTGGCTCTGGATACGACCCACAGGATCTCCGAGGTCTGCCTCTAGTTATAATTCTCCACGTGGCTCCCTTCCTGCTCCCTGTCAAAGCATTTAGGCCATCCTCCTGGTCGTCTTGGAGTATAATCGGGTCTTGCCACCTCTGGCATGCCGTGTCTGCCTGAGTTATGGCCCTCTTGAGCCGTCCAGAGGCCAGCCAGGCTGGTGACAGGCACAGAAGATTCATGACACCCAGGGACTTGCTCTCAGAGTGTCTGAATGCATTTTACGCTGGGCCCGGATGCAGTTCTTGGCCCCAAAGCCAGCCAACCTGAGTAGCCTGTTGTCCTTGGATAGTTTATTGGCCTTCCCATGTCTGCCACCATGCTGGCTCTGAAATGCTGCAGTAGGTGTCTATTACAGTAGCTGTTGTCACAGCACCTTCTTCACCATTTCCCCGGACTCCACAGAGGCTGAGGAGGTCCCTTCTGTATAGCAGGTGATGTGACACCCGGCCACTCGTAGTTCAGAACTGGACTATTGTGGTCTGATTGTGGGTAGTTGATTGCCTGGCCTTTCTTCCTAGTCCATCTTCACCTGGAAGCTCCTCTGAAACTTGTTTAGCATCGCAGCCACACACCAGCCTCCATGGACAGAAGGGTGGTGGCTGCACATGAGGGTAAACTGACCCAAACCCACCGCCATGGGGTCGATTCTTCTCACAGTAACCTCAAGGCAGAGTGGGACTGCCTCATAAGGTTCCCAAGGCTGTCATCCTTATGGAAGCAGACTGCCTCATCTTTCTCCCATGGAGCAACTGATGCGTTCAGACCTTTCAGTTAGCAGGCAAGCACTTTAACCACTATGCCTTCTCCCTGAGGTTCATTGACCAGGAATTGAACCCAGGTCTCCAGGAGGCGAGATTTCTACCATGGAGCCACCGCAGGAAAACCTGTGGTGTTAACTTCGAGTCTGATTCTGATTCTGCCTTGTTCCCGCCTCAATGTCCCTGTGCCACTGACACCTTTGGCCTCTGCAGACCTCCATCTTCCCTGGGGCAGAAGGGCATGGCCACTGGTAATGTTGTCTCCTTGGAGCTCCAGGTCAGACTGTGTCCTGGCTCACCTTGTGGCCTCCTGTCCACTTCTGACCCTGTGCATCCTTCTAGGACCTACTATGACCTACCTGTCTCCAGCCCAGAGGACAGTGTGACTTCCCTGGGTTGTACTGAGGCTTGCTTTGTCTCCTTGGCTCTGGTGCCTGTCACCTAAATGGGAGCTGGCAGAAGCATCTCATGGCTGTCGCCCTGAGTTTCTGAGTGAGGTCCTGCATGGTGCATTGCTCACCCGAGCTCCACCACTGGCTATAGTGGCATCAGAGTGGGAGGCATCTTCTTCAGGCTGAATCCCTGCACAGTGGCAGGATGGAGCACCCTGAGAGTGGGTCTGTCCCCCTCTTTTTGGGATGTAAGGATGAAATGGTGCTGGACTTCCAGTGTGTCTGCCCTTTCAGTCATTGCCTGCGCCTCAGTCTGCCCACCTGTGAGTGGTGCACAGGGAAGTTTATGTACACGCTGATGATCTCCTGGCTCCTTGCCATCTGAATGAGCTCTGATACATGTGGGCCCTAGTCCATGCTTCCGGGCAGACGCCAGAGCCTGGTGTGGGCTGCAACAAGCACTCTGTGGGATCTGAGTTCCTGCTGCCCAGTGCAGTGGCTTCTGGCTCCCGAGCACTTGGGATGTGGCCAGTGGGATTGAGGGGCTGGGGTTTAATTTAGTGTATGGATTTAATTTAGTGATAGGAAATTGGATGGACCAGTGTCCACAGTTCGGCTCTGACATCACCTGTCAGAGAACATTCTGGTACACTCCCTGCCTGCCTCTTGGTTCTCTGTGACTCTCACTGTCTCTCTGTCTCTTTTCCTCTCTCTTTCTTCCCTTGTTGCTTTCTCTGCCTCTCTGTCTTTTTGTATTGCAGGTGGCCACAGACCTTCCATTTGTCAAAAACATAAATTTACTGTGAAGCACAGTAAATCAAGGCTTATCTGTATTGGTTTGTTTTCTTCATCTGTTTGCTATGTCTCCCAGTGAATATGTGAACTCCTGGGTGCTATAGGTGTTTGCTGATAAGTATCGCTCCTTTCCCAGGTCCTCTGTCCACTCTGGAGCACTGAGCCAGTGCAAGGACTCT